AGATCCACAGGCACCTACGTCGACGAGGTTCCCCCCCCCTTGGGCGAACGTAGTCGATGACATGTGGATCTACAGGGTGAAGCGGCCATCGGGATCTCCTCCGGTCTTCAAGGCGCGCTATGTGGCTAGAGGTTTTAGTCAGCGCGAGGGAGTTGACTTCTTTCAGACCTTCGCGCCTACCACGAAGATGACCACTCTTCGGGTGTTACTACACGTAGCAGCACAGAGAGACTACGAGTTACACTCTCTCGACTTCTCCATTGCTTTCCTTCATGGCAGCCTACACGAGGGGGTCTGGCTGCATCGTCCCTCTGCCTTCACTGACACTTTCCCTCCTGGGACCCAGTGGAGGCTGTGGCGACCTGTCTACGATCTCCGTCAGGCTCCTCGTGAGTGGCACGACACCCTTCGTTCTACCCTCTCTAACCTTGGTTTCCAGCCGTCTTCTGCCGACCCGTCGTTGTTCGTCCGTCGTGGCTCCACGCCTTTCTTTGTTCTGGTCTACGTCGACGACCTGGTTTTCGCCACTGCTGACAGGGTTGCCTTGGCAGACGTGAAGTCCGAACTGCAGAAGAGACACACGTGCATTGACCTTGGTGAGCTGCGCCACTACCTTGGCCTGCAGATCACCAGGGACAGAGCTGCTCGCACCATTACACTCTCACGGTCACACATGGTGCAGCAGGTTCTTCTGCGGTTCGAGCTTCAGCACTCCACAGTACAGCGCTCACCTCTTGCTGTTGACCACAGACTTACTGGACCCTTTCCTGACGAGCCGTTTGAGTCTAGTGGTCCCTACGCAGAGCTGGTGGGCTGCCTCATGTACCTGATGACTTGTACTCGCCCGGACCTCGCCTTCCCTCTCAGCATCCTTGCTCGCTTTGTTGCACCAGGGAGACACCGTCCTGTTCACTGGACGGCAGCTGTGAGGGTGGCGAAGTACCTAGCGATGACATCAGGCGTGGGGCTAGTTCTTGGAGGGCAGCAGTCTGTCGTACTCACTGGTCACTGTGACTCTTCTTACGCCGACGACGCTGAGACTCACAGGTTTACTCAGGGTTACTGTTTCAGCTTGGGTTCTGGAGCTGTTTCGTGGAGGTCCACGCGCTCCTCTTTGGTCTCGACCTCTACTGCTGGCGCTGAGATCTACGCTGGTGCCATGGCGGCACAAGAGCTGCGTTGGTTGACCTTCTTTCTCGCCGACCTTGTTCACTGACAACAACGAGAGCCGCGAATGGAGAGCAGAATGTGTTAAACGTTATATCTGCTATACATGCTTAGGCTGTAGTGGGGTAGCCAATATGGGGTACAGCCCACTTTAGGGTTTCATATTTGTACCCAACTCTTCCATAGTTCAACCATTCCTGCTGCTAGATTCTGACATGGTTTCAGAGCACTAGGTCCGTAGGACCGTTTTTTTTTTCGGGCCCACCTACCGTTGCGGTTACCACGCTACCCCACGTATTGTCCTGCGCCTGCCTTGCCTTGTGACGTGCTGCGCTGCGCGAGCCGTCCTGCAGCCCTCGCGCTGCCTACTGCTGCCCTAGGCCAGCGCGCCGCCCCTGCAGGCCCGTAAGGCCCGCGAGCCGCCCCTACAGCCTCGTAAAGCCCGTGCGCCGCCCCTGCAGGAGCGTCAGGCCCGTTAGCCGCCCCTGCAGGCCCGTCCGGCCCGCGAGCCGCCCCTGCAGGCCCGTCAGGCCCGCCAGCCGTCTCTGCAGGCCCGCCAGCCGTCCCTGCAGGCCCGCCAGCCGTCCCTGCAGGCCCGTCAGGCCCGCTAGCCGCCCTTGCAGGCCCGTCAGGCCCGCGAGCCGCCCCTGCAAGCCCGTCAGGCCAGGTCGCCGCCCCGCGCGTCGCGCCCGCTGCCCGCGCGTCGCGCTGCAGCCCCGCGCGTCGCGTCCGCTGCCCGCGCATCGCGCTGCAGCCCTGCGCGTCGCGCCCGCTGCCCGCGCGTCGCGCTGCAGCCCCGCGCGTCGCGTTCGCTGCCCGCGCGTCGCGCTGTAGCCCCGCGCGCCGCGTTCTCTGCCCGCGCGTCGCGCTGCAGCCCCGCGCGCCGCGCCCGCAGCTCACGCAGCGCGCCGCAGCCTCGCACGCCGCGGCTGCCCCTGTTCCTCGCGGCTGCCCCTGGACGCTGCCCTGCAGCAGCTGCCACCGTCGCTCATGCAGCAGCTGCCACGGAGCGCCCTGCCACAGTCGCGGCCCTGCCCAGCAGCAGCTGCCGCGGAGCCTTCTGCCGCCGTCGAGGCCCTTCCCTGCAGCAGCTGTCGCGGAGCCTCCTGCCACAGTCGCGGCTCTGCCCTGCAGCAGCTGCCGCGGAGCCTTCTGCCGCCGTTGCGGCCCCGCCCTGCAGCAGCTGTCGCGGACCTGCCCTACCGCCGACGCGGCCCTGCTCTGCCGCAGCTGTAGCGGCCCCGCCGTCGCCGCCGTCGTGCGCCTCCCCTTCCCGCCACTGGTGAGCACCTACCTTGTTCGTGCGCTACCGCCTGCCTGCCTGCCTGCCTGCCTGCCTGCCTGCCTGCCTGCCTGCCTGCCTGCCTGCCTGCCTTCCTGCCTGCCTGCCTGCCGGCCTGCCTGCCGGCCTGCCTGCCTGCCGCGCCTGCCCTTCACGCGCTGCTTCTGCTACTACTGCTATTGCTACTGCTACTGCTACTGCTACTGCTACTGCTGCTACTGACGGTGGCCAGATGCAGCTCCAGCGACGTCCGCGTGAGTCCCTCACGCCCCAGCAGCTTAGTGAGTGGTACGCTAGTTGGGGTTGTAGGGGTGGCCGCGCTGCTACTGCTTCTACTGCTGCTACTGCTGTTACTGCTGCTACTGCTGCTACTACTGCTACTGGTGCTACTGGCGGTGGCCAGATGCAGCTCCAGCGACGTCCGCGTGAGTCCCTCACGCCCCAGCAGCTTAGTGAGTGGTACGCTAGTTGGGGTTGTAGGGGTGGCCGCGCTGCTACTGCTACTACTGCTGCTACTGCTGTTACTGCTGCTACTGCTGCTACTACCGCTACTGCTGCTACTGGCGGTGGCCAGATGCAGCTCCAGCGACGTCCGCGAGAGTCTCGCACGCCCCAGCAGCTTAGTGAGTGGTACGCAAGTTAGGGTTGTCGCGGTAGCCGTCGTAGCTGTCGCCCTGGAGCTGGTCAGTTGGGAGAGTCTGGCAGTGGCCAGCTGCAGCTGCAGCGGCGTCCACGCGAGACACTTACGTCCCAGCAGCTTCACGAATGGTACGCTCAGAGTAGAGGGTCTCTGAGTACCGTTCGCTGCCCGTACGTCATTCGCACTGGTGCTCGGACTGGTCAGGCTTGCGGGACGCTCAGTCACACACAGTCCCGCTGCTTCGCCCGTCTGAGCGACGCCTGGCGTACCGAGTTTGGCGACGAGGCTGAGCTCCCCGACTGGGTGGAGCTGCTTGGGCAGAGGGTAGATATCTTTGCTCTTGACTATGATGCTATTCTCACTGCCATGTATGCATTGCCTACTAGTGCCGACCGTGCCTGTTACCTGTGCGTACCGCCTGACCCAGGTATAGAGCCTACTGCTCTAGGTGCTGGTGAGGCTGCTGCTCTAGGGACTAATGTGTCTCCTGCTCTAGGTACGGGTGAGGCTGCTGCTCCAGGTGCTGGTGAGTTTGCTCTCTCTGGTGCTGCGCCTGCTCAGGCCTTGTACACCTTCACACTTGACTCAGGTGCTTCTCGCTCCTTCTTTCGCGACAGCACCTCCCTCACGCCGCTCAGTCGGCCGGTTCCAGTCTCTCTGGCAGACCCCTCTGGGGGTCCAGTCCGTGCGACCTCTTCCACTGTCCTCCCTTGTCCTGCTGTCCCGTCCGGCACACTGTCGGGTCTTCACCTCCCCTCGTTCTCTACGAACTTGGTGGCGGGTTCTGCGCTCCAGGACGCGGGTGTTCACCAGTTCACCCCTGCCTACGAGCGTGTGACACACTGCACGTGTGCTCAGACGGGTCGTCACCTGGCTACCTTCACTCGGCAGCCGGGGTCGGGCCTGTACACACTGACCACTGAGTCCCCTCAGGTAGCTGCGTCTACGTCTGCGTCAGGTCAGTTGTCGGCCCCCTGCTCGTGTCGTGCCTTGTCGCACCAGACCCTCCTTTGGCACCACCGTCTTGGTCACCCCTCGGTGCAACGCCTTCGCAGCATGCACCGCCGTGTCCTTGTCTCTGGTCTTCCCAGGGTTCTCCCTCCCCTCCCACCCTCGCCTGCTCCTCCCTGTCTTCCCTGTGTCGAGGGGCGGCAGCGCGCCGCTCCTCACTCCTCCTCATTCCCTCCCACAGAGGCTCCCCTCCAGACTCTCCACCTGGACGTGTGGGGCCCAGCCCGCGTCCGTGGACATGGCCACGAGCGGTACTTCCTGCTGGTCGTCGACGACTACAAGCGTTACACCACGGTCTTCCCCTTGCGCACCAAGGGTGAGGTCCCTGATGTTTTGATCCCCTGGATCCGCGCTGCTCGTCTCCAGCTCCGCGAGCGGTTCGGGACGGAGTTTCCCGTCCTGCGTTTGCACTCTGATAGAGGTGGTGAGTTTTCCTCCGACCTCTTGGCAGCCTTCTGTGAGGAGCACGGCATCACCCAGTCGTTCACGCTTCCGGCCTCTCCGCAGAAGAATGAGGTTGCTGAGCGCCGCATTGGCTTAGTCATGGAGGTCGCTCGTACCTCCATGATCCATGCGGCTGCCCCCCATTTTCTGTGGCCGTTTGCGGTCCGGTACGCCGCGCATCAGCTCAACCTCTGGCCCCGTGTCTCCTTGCCGGAGACCTCGCCCACACTGCTGTGGACGGGGAAGGTTGGCGATGCGTCGCGTTTCCGGGTCTGGGGTGCTCGTGCCTTTGTCCGCGATACCACTGCGGACAAGCTCTCCGCCCGCGCTGTTCCTTGTGTCTTCCTTGGCTTTGTCCCTGACGCGCCTGGTTGGCAGTTTTACCACCCCACCTCGCGCCGTGTCTTCCCCTCTCCGCAGCAGAATGAGGTTGCTGAGCGCCGCATTGGCTTAGTCATGGAGGTCGCTCGTACCTCCATGATCCATGCGGCTGCCCCCCATTTTCTGTGGCCGTTTGCGGTCCGGTACGCCGCGCATCAGCTCAACCTCTGGCCCCGTGTCTCCTTGCCGGAGACCTCGCCCACACTGCTGTGGACAGGGAAGGTTGGCGATGCGTCGCGTTTCCGGGTCTGGGGTGCTCGTGCCTTTGTCCGCGATACCACTGCGGACAAGCTCTCCGCCCGCGCTGTTCCTTGTGTCTTCCTTGGCTTTGTCCCTGACGCGCCTGGTTGGCAGTTTTACCACCCCACCTCGCGCCGTGTCTTCCCCTCTCAAGACGTCACGTTCGACGAGTCGGTTCCCTTTTACCGTCTCTTCCCCTACCGCACTGCCCCTCTCCCCTCCCCGCCGCTCTTCCTCGCTCCAGGTGCTCCCCAGGTAGACCCCCTCCCCACTCCCGGTCCTGCTCCTTCAGGTGTGTCTCAGGTAGACCCTCCTCTCTTGACTGTGCCGGTTGAGGTCACTGGTGACTCAGGTCCTGCTGAGGGTGGTCCTGCTTGGGGTGTTGTTTCTGGGGGTGCTGAGTCTGGGGGTGCGGAGCCTGGGGGTGCTGAGCTTGGGGGTGCGGAGCCTGGGGGTGCTGAGCCTGGAGGTTCTGGAGCTGTTAAGGGTGCTGGCGCTGGAGGTTCTGGAGCTGCTGCGGGTGCTGGCGCTGGAGGTTCTGGAGCTGCTGCGGGTGCTGGCGCTGGAGGTTCTGGAGCTGCTGCGGGTGCTGGCGCTGGAGGTTCTGGAGCTGCTGCGGGTGCTGGCGCTGGAGTTTCTGGAGCTGCTGCGGGTGCTGGCGCTGGAGGTTCTGGAGCTACTGCGGGTGCTGACGCTGGAGGTTCTGGAGCTGCTGCGGGTGCTGGCGCTGAGGGTTGTGAGTCTGCTGTTGCGCGGTCTCCCTGGAGTAGCCGCCTTCGTCCGCGTGTGCCTCTCACCTCCCAGCAGTTGCACGACTGGTACGGTCGCCGTCAGGGTCGCGCTTCTGGAGCTCGGGGCTCTGCCGCTGGAGGTGTTTCTGCTGTCGTCACTGGAGCTGGGAGTGGTGCTGGTCCCGGAGGTGCTCGTACTGGAGGTACTGGAGCTACTGGGGCTGGAGGTGCTGTTGAGCCTGAGGGTGCTGCTGCTGGAGACCCTGGGTCTAGGGGTGCTGCTGCTGGAGACACTGCGGCTGGAGACCCTGGGACTGGAGGTGCTGGTTCTGGGGGTGCTGCTGCTGGTGGAGCTGGTCCTGGAGGAGCTGGCGCTGAGGGTTCTGGAGCTGCTGGAGGTACTGGAGCTGCTGGGGGTGCTCGAGCTGCTGGTGCTGGTGGCACTGCACAACCGCGCCTGTTCTTCGCTCCACCGTCTCCGTCGTCTCAGCCGCCGCCTGACTCTGTGCTTCGCCAGGTTCTTAGTCTCCCTTCGTCTACTGGTCTTCCATTACAGCCTGGCTCACCGCTGCCTGCTCCTTCTCCTTACACTGAGCAGACAGGGGGTTTTACTGGCGTCGTGAGCCTGCGTCGCGTCCTGTCTCGCCTGTCCGTTCTAGTAGTTCCGGTGGTCGTGTTCCTCGTTCGTGTCAGCCGACTGTCCCCGGCACCCACCTCGTCGTTCGTCATCCTTCCTCTCCTCCGCAGCGTGTCCCCCTGCCGTCCCCTCCTGCGTCTTCTTTGCCTACCGTTCCTGAGCCTGAGTCTGACCGCACCCGTGCTGCTCACCCTACTATCACGCGTCTGCTAGCCATAGTTGTCACTGACCCGTCGTTTGATTCTGCTGCTGCTTCTGCCTTTGTTGCTGAGCTTGTTGACTTTGCTGCTGCATGTCGTCTAGACTACGCCGCTAGTCTTGTTGCTGATTCTGAGTCTGTCTGTCCTCCGTCCGTCGGGGGTGAGTGTGCTCTTGGCACGGACTTCCTTGACGACAGGCAGGAGGACCTTGAGTGTCTTGCAGCCGCTGCGCCTCACCTCGTGTCCATGTTGCTTGCCCCTGAGGGAGACCCGGATGCTCCAGACATCCCGACCCCGCGCTCTTACGCTGAGGCGATCGCGGGTGAGTACTCCTCTCAGTGGCAGACAGCCATGGACGCAGAGATGGCATCCTGGAAGTCCACAGGCACTTACGTTGACGAGTTTCCCCCTCCTGAGGCGAACATCGTCAGTGGCATGTGGATTTTCAGGGTGAAGCGGCCGCCAGGTTCTTCGCCTGTCTTCAAGGCTCGTTACGTTGCTCGATGTTTCAGTCAGCGAGAGGGAGTTAACTTCTTTCAGACCTTCTCCCCCACCCCGAAGATGACCTTCTCACTGACTTCAGCACAGCTTTCTTACAGGGCAGCCTGCACGAGGAGATATGGCTGCGCCGCCCTCCTGGCTTCACTGGGTCGTTCCCTCCTGGTACCAAGTGGAGCCTCCGGCGGCCAGTCTACGGTCTCCGCCAGGCACCACGTGAGTGGCACGACACACTTAGGACTACACTTGCGGCTCTTGGGTTTGCTCCGTCGACTGCTGACCCGTCGCTGTTTCTGCGCACCGACACGTCGCTGCCGCCGTTCTACATCCTCGTGTACGTCGACGACTTGGTCTTTGCCACTGCTGACACTGTGGCTCTCGCCCTGGTGAAGTCGGAGCTGCAGAAGAGACACACGTACACAGACCTGGGTGAACTGCGCAGCTACATTGGCTTGCAGATCACCCGGGACAGAGCACGCCGCACCATCACACTGACTCAGTCACACATGGTGCAGCAGGTCCTTCAGCGCTTCGGCTTCACCTGGTCCTCGCCACAGCACACTCCTCTGGCTACAGGCCACTCGCTCTCAGCTCCACCTTCGGACGAGTCCGTAGAGCCGAGTGGCCCGTATCCAGAGCTAGTGGGCTGCCTCATGTACCTGATGACCTGCACTCGACCTGACCTTGCGTACCCTCTTGGCCTTCTGGCTCGCTACGTGGCTCCTGGTCGGCACCGAAAGGTGCACATGGATGCTGCGAAGATGGTACTGCGCTACTTGTGCGGTACATCGGGCATGGGGCTCGTTCTTGGAGGGCGGAGCGCAGTTGTCCTCACTGGGCACACAGACGCTTCTTGGGTTGATGACCAGGCTACGCAGCGGTCGTCACAGGGTTACACCTTCAGCCTTGGTTCTGGTTCAGTTTCTTGGCGTTCTACATGCTCGTCTTCTGTTCTCAGCTCCAGTTGTGAGGCTGAGATCTACGCCACAGCCATGGCTGCACAGGAGTTGCGCTGGCTCACCTACCTGCTGACCGACTTGGGAGAGCGGCCTCATTCTCCTCCAGTGCTGTACGTCGACAACAAGGCCGCCATTGCCTTGTGTCAGGAGCACAGACTGGAGCACAGAACGAAGCACATCGCTCTGCGTTACTTCCTGGCTCGAGAGTTGCAGCAGCGTGGTCAGCTTCGTCTTGCTTACGTGGCCACTCGGGCCAACACTGCTGATATATTCACCAAGGCACTTCCGTCTGGTGATCATCAGCGTTTCTGCACTTTGTTAGGCCTTGTGCCCACGTTTCCTCACTTGCTATAGACTTTTCTTGTACTGTGATCTATATATATACCTGCATCCTTACTCTGCTAGGTAGAGATCACTATGTTGTTATTGTTGCATATATACCTCTGCATGTGAACTGGCCTTGTTGCCCTCTGCTTGTACTCAGTGTGTGTGGTGACGTTGTGATCCACCCTGAGCTTGCTTTGCTTCTCTTGACTGGTCTTGTGACCCCTTGTTCTCCCCCACTTTGCCTATGGGGATGTGTCAAATGTTATATCTGCTATACATGCTTAGGCTGTAGTGGGGTAGCCAATATAGGGTACAGCCCACTTTAGGGTTTCATATTTGTACCCAACTTTTCCATAGTTCAACCATTCCTGCTGCTAGATTCTGACAGAATGAAGCACATTAACGTCAGGTACTTTCTTCTGCGTGAGTTGCAGAGACGTGGACAGGCTCGCTTCGAATTTGTGGAGTCAGAGGCCAACACTGCAGGCATCTTTACCAAGGCGCTTCCGCCTTGTGACCACCAGAGGTGTTGTGTGCAGTTAGGTCTTGTTGACACAAGTTCTAGTCGTGTGCAGGCTTGAGTTTACTGTTTGCTTTGCTTGTACTCTTGCCATACACCTTTGTGAACTCTTGGACTGGCCTTGTGGCCCGTGTTGCTTGTGTTCAGATTGTGTGGTGACGTTGTGATCCACCCTGAGCTTTGTTTCTTTGTGACTGGTCTTGTGACCGTACACTTTTGGTTTTGCTTGGCACCCCTCACTTAGGCTATGGGGGTGTGTCAAATGTTGTAGCCTGTAGTGAGGTTTGTGTTAGGGGGTACAAATGTTAGGGTTTTCTATATGTACCCCAACCCTCATCAATAACACAACACTTTCATTCTTGACAGTATGCAGTGAAATGTGTTAAAGCCCGCATGCAAAATAGTGACCCCTGTCCCAACTTGAATGAGGAGTTTCATGTGAGGATGAAACCAGTCTCAAAAACACTGTTTCAAACGATTTGTATGGGCAGAGTGAACTCATGTCATTGGCCCTCGCCACAATGGAACGTAATGGTTCCCGCCAAAATGAACTTTTTTTCACATTTCAGCCGTCGCATTTTTGCGTGCCGCATCCGCACGACAAACCCCAGGCGATGGTTTCCCATCGCAGGCCCAACCTCATTTTCAAGCTGGTGGTGGGTGGATTACTAGATTTCTGTCACTCCATTCATCACTAGTTTCCGCATAGCATAGTAAGTAGTAGAGCTGAAAGCACATGCGATCGTGTCATAGCCACGTAATTACCGACGAGTGCGTCAATTGTCGACCTAGCGAGAGTGTGAAATGTAGGTTTACGTGGCCTGGTAGCGCAGTGCCCGTTTCCCGTCTCGCCATTGCTGGTGGGGTCCGCCGACGCCTCGCTCTCTAGTCCGTCCCGTCGCCTTTCCGTCGCCCTCGCAAACGCACACGCGACGGCCCTCCCGTCGTCGTCACGGTCTCCCCTCCCGGTTATTCTCCCGTTCACCCCTCTTGTCCCCTCGCCCTCGCGAGTTCCCTCCGAGCCCGTCGCCTTCCCGTTCTCCCGCCCCTCGCTTTCGATGTCCCCTCTTCCTTCCCGTCGCCCTCACTATCTCCCTTCCCTCACGTTGCCTTCGTTGTCCCCTTTTTCCTTCGTTCCTTCCCGTCGCCCTCGCGATATCCCTTCCCCCTCCCGTCGCCTGTCCGCTCTCCCTCCCGTCGCCTTCGCGCTCTCCCCCGTCGCCTGTCCGCCCTCCCTCCCTTGGCCTTCGCACTTTCTTTCCCGTCGCCTGTCCACTCTCCCTCCCATCGCCTTCGCACTCTTCATCCCGTCGCCTTTCTCCTTCGCCACTTCATCTCCTATCGCACCGCCCTTCCAACGCCATTTCCGTTCCGCTCGTTTAGTATAGCCCTACCGCCGTCCTTCCTCTCTCTTTTCCCATGACCCACCTCGTTGCCGTGGCGCTCTCGCCCAGTCGCCCTCCCGTCGCTCTTCCTCTCGCCCCTGCCATCACCCACCTCTGCGCCGTCACGCTCGTTTCGAATAGCCCTCCCATCCCTTCCCGCTGCTCTCGCTCTCTCCCATCCCTTCCCGTCGCTCTCGCCCTCTCCCATTCCTACCCGTCGATCTCGCTCTCTCCCATCCCTTCCCGTCGCTCTCACCTTCTCCCATCCCCTCGCCATCGCGCTCACGTTCCTCGTCTCCCGTACCATTCGCGCTCGCACATTCTCATCCCGTCCCGTACCGTTCCTCCTCTCTCCCCGTCCATCCCGTCATTCCTCCTCACTGTCCTCCCATCCCGTCGTTCTATCTCTCTCCCTTCCCGTCCCGTGGTTCCTCCTCTCTCCCCTTCCCATCCTGTCGTTCCCGCTCTCTCCCCTTCCCATCCCATCGTTCCGTCTCTCTCCCCTCCCATTCCGTCGTTCCGCCCCTCTCCCCTTCCCATCCCGTCGTTCCGTCTCCCTCCCCTCCCGTCCCGTCGTTCCGCCTCTCTCCCCTTCCTATGCCGTCGTTTCGCCTCTCTCCCCTCCTATCCCGTCGTTCCTCCTCTCTCCCCTTCCCATCCCGTCGTTCCCGCTCTCTCCCCTTCCCATCCCGTCGTTCCGTCTCTCTCCCCTCCCATTCCGTCGTTCCGCCCCTCTCCCCTTCCCATCCCGTCGTTCCGTCTCCCTCCCCTCCCGTCCCGTCGTTCCGCCTCTCTCCCCTTCCTATGCCGTCGTTTCGCCTCTCTCCCCTCCTATCCCGTCGTTCCTCCTCGCCTTGTTCATCATTTTTTTTTCCGTTCGTTCTTTTTTTCTCAACTCCCTATTCTATCGCCTCGACTACAAGTCCAAAGAAACACTTTTTTCACATCTCTGCTAGCTCGTCGGACAACCTTTATGGTGTTCCACTGTCATCTCGTGCATATGTGCGTGCGCTGGATTTTGCCAATGTTGTTGCTTGATGTGAAGTTTGACAACTCCTTGTCTGAAGACATAGCATTGAAAACTTGCGCCAAATTCGCACAGGCAAGTGAGTGAAAGTCGCTGCCAATCAAAATTCTAGAAAAGTTCCAAATGTTCCCTGTTCACATCGAGACTCGACTGGGGGTGTAAAAACAAAACTTATAGCACTTCAACCTCTCAAAACGTTCCAAAAAAGCTTGTGTCTTCAAATGGACCCAACTAGAAGGGGGGGGTCACTATTTTAGCTACGGGCTTTAACAATACATAACCTGTGGATGTTACCCCAAATAGTTCGTTCGCTATCTTCATAACCATCCAACAACTTCGGTCATCCCAAATGCCAATGCTAAACCTTGTTCAGGTTTACATGATTTGATCCAAGGACTTTCAAGAAAGCATCAACAATTTCATTGCAGCCCATTGCATAGACACAATCGAAACACATTCAAGGATGAATCGCATTTGCTAGCCACTGCCTTGCCTGAAGCCATAGCAGCAACTGTAGAACAAGCAATAAGCCAGTAAACGGAGTGAGCATTGACATCTGTTGGCTAAAACAGATCCGCAAGTCTCCGCATTTAACGGTAAGACTTCTGGTAGCGGGCGCGGGCACCACGACCACCGAACTTCTTGGGCTCGCAGCGGCGGGGGTCAGCAACGAGGAGAGTGCGGTCGTAACGCAACAACAAGTTCTTCAGCTCCCGCTTGGACTGCTCGTCCACGTCTGCTTGTACCAAAAAGAAATATGCATGGTTGAAAGTGAGGAAAAAAACACGGAAAAAATAATATGAAAGACAAGGGGGAAATGGCAAGAGAAGTAGATGTGCTGTGCAAGAGTAAGGTTGCAAGGTATTGAAACACTCAGCACAGCCCATGCAGCCCACAACACACACCATCATTCATGCCAGAACTCCACAACCACTCAACATCCCAGCCTATAGAGATCACGTACACTTCTGGTAGTAGGCAACGAGGGCCTTGGCAATGGCCTGACGGATGGCTGTGATGGGGAAGGACACACAGGGAAAGAGCAAAGGTTCTGGACTCAGTAAGGAAGACAACGACAGTGTAGGAAAAATGGTTCAGTCGTACAAACGAATCAATTGCACAGAGAACCTGGGTGTAGGAACAGACCGAATCCAACAACTCTAACTGGCCCCACACGAGAAAGGGCATTTTGGGAGTGAAGCGAAGTTGGCGGAACAAAGTTGGCGCAACGCACCGTAGATCTGTGACACGTGTCCTCCTCCCTGCACGCGGATGCGGATGTCGACATTGGCGAACTTGTCCTTGCCCAGCACCGTCACGGGCTCGAACGCCTTGGCGCGGAGCGTATCAGGCTCCACCAGCTCCAGCGGCGACCCTGCGCGCAGGGGGAGAAGCGGAGGGGGAGGCCCGGGAAAGGGGGAGACGGGGAGAAGTTGGAGAAGGGGAGAAAAAGGGGTAGAGTTTATACAGGGTACGTTGCGACAGGGGGGAAGGAGGGAGGGGGAGGGTTGGTTTGTTGATGCGGGGGAAGGTGAAAAGGATGGAGAGGGGGGGAGGGGGGGGAGGGAAGAGGTCTAGAAGTCAGTGTTGAGTCAAAGGTAGGGAACCAGAATAAAAACCCTTAAGAACGAGGGAGCAGGAATGGGTTCTGACATCTTTAAGTCGAAGCTCTCGGAAGAATCTGGGAAGGTTAGGAATGGGAGAGGATACATAGCAGAGGATGTGGAGCAAGCGAAAGAACTAACCGTTGAGGCGAATAAGACCCTTGCCCCTCTTGCAGTGAGCCACTGCCACTGCTGTCTTCTGCTCTCAAGAAACCAGCGGAGAGGGAATTGGGACGGAGGGAAGGAGAGGCGTAAGGTCGAGAAGAACTGCAAGGTAGAAGGAGGTTGAACATTAAGGAATACGGCATCGAGATTCCGTGTGCAGCGTTAATGAATATCAGCCCTAGGACATAACCCTAGGTCAACGCCTTAGGCAAACGCCCTAGGTCAAAGCCCCAGGATGCGGTAATGATCGCTCTGTCCCCGCAGTGGATCCGGAGTGATCCGGGACCACTTTAAACATTCTGTAACAGGAAATGGCTTTCCTATGTTTCAGTTTCCTGGAAGAGCCGCCAGTGATAGTCTGAGGAGGAGGTAAGGAAGAATGAGGAGACAACGCACCTTGCGACCGAAACACTGCACCGACTGCAGCGACGCAGATATGACACAGCATCAACCACGACCGCGAAACGCCGCACCGAAGGGAGTTCGAGAGAGGGGGGGGAAGGGAGACGGGGGGCAAAGAAAGGAATGGACAACAATTAAGATATCGTTCAAAAAGAGGAAATTAATTGTAACGGGGGGCGGAGAGAGGAAAGACAGGGAGTGGGAGTGCGGCCAACGACAGGGGGGAAGCAGGTTGCAAGAGAGGAGCGGCAGGAGGGGAGAGAGAAGACGAAGGAAAGGTCAAGAGTAGAATAAGACCGAATAAAAGAACGATCAGCACTGACGGATCAGACACGCAGCCAACGGGTGGCCTGATCGGAGTGCACGAGGGACCATTCTCGAATAACGGCAATGCACGCCTGACTGATCACCAGCACTACGCACAGGTTCTCAGCTGATCTACACCTAGCGAGCCCACTCTATCGCAGCGTCGCTTCTATCCCATCAAAACAGTCTACTTATTTGGACCGTTTGTCCAGCTTTATCTGACCTCAAGACAGTTCCGATTCCCATCCGACCCCACTCGCACGACTGGCTTTACAATGACCTCGAGCGGCGTGTGCTGGGAGCTGCAACAGCACGATGCGAGATTCGTGTATGGCTAGAGCAGAACGACCCCCTGGAGGCGTTCTTGACAAGACACACCCGCATCCCCTTCTTCTTATACGTGCTCACGCGTCAGCTACAGCGACTGCTTGCTTCTGATGAGGCTGTCCATGTCGGCTAGTGGATCTAGTCATAGCATGGCCCGCCACCATGACGGACATGATGACTTGAGACGCAATGGCATGGCTTTAAACGCATTGCTTCGGCAAAGCCCCTCTCACCCTAATCTGACGAGAGACATATGTTTAAGTCCGACAAGCCAGCACGCGATTAGCCGGAAGGCAAAAATTGAAACATTTTGGAAATGAAAATAAAACACACAAAACTCCCAGAAGGCTTATCTCAGGCCAGATGTGTACGAAGATATACGAAACAAGAAAAAACGAAAGAGTTCGGGCTTCAACGATCACCAGCCCTCCCGCAGCAATTGACGGTTCTTCCCTCGACGCCATGCTAAACGAGGTGTTCCGCCAACAATATTAAATTGTATGGAGCCGCGGCCGCTGCACTAGACGAAACCCTAACGCTGGAAAACGGGTCGGCAGCGCCGGAATTCGGAGCAGGGTTAACTAGACGAGGACCTAATCACCCTGCGACACTACGAGCTCATCCCTCGAAAAAGCCTGCGCAGCTTAGAGCGGTGCGGTTCGTACCTCCATGGCTGGCGACAAGCGAGGGCAGCCTGACGAAGAGAGCTGGGCGAGAAAGGAAAGAGAAAGAAATCGCAGGGCGAGGAGTAGAGGGAGGAAAGAGAGCAAGCGTGGGCGAAAAGTGGAGAGAAATGGTGAGCGCGAGGTGTTGACAGCTGGAGGTGAGGGGACGAGGGAGGGGAGGAGGGGAGGATGGAGCAGGGGAATCAAAGCGGGCAGGGATGCGGGCGCGCAGGGAGGCGGGCATGCAGGGAGGCGGGCGTGCAGGGAAAATATTGGGGGAATGTTCGGAGCGCACACGGGGCGGGGAAAGAGAACTCGCCCGACGATGGGCGGAATCGCGGCGGTGGCAAACGAGGGCGGGATGTGTTCGAGGCTGGGCAGGTTTTGCGCGGGGGAGCTGAACTGGGGGTTTGATGAGCTTTTTTGGGCTTCGAGAGTACCCTGGGGTGCGTCCACGCCAATAACAGTTCGTGTCACACTGTGCAATCTTTGTAACTATCTGTAGTGTCTTATGGTTGTACAATATGGGATACAACCACTGTGGATGTAACCACTTTTATTAGTGAAATGCATCCTTCAAAATAAAAAACCATATGGGATACATTTAGGCTGCAAACAATATTTTAGTATTGATCCGTTTTTCATGTTTAATAATTATAAAACAAGCACTTACGTACCCATTGATGGATAGTGCATTGATTTATTTAGTATTGTCAAATGGATAGAAGCGCTTTATTTTGTATTTTCACACGTGAGGGAGGTCAGTTGATGTTCTGCTGATGATCCCCATTATAATGGGGAAATTCATTCACCTTGTTGATGTGGCGTCATGTCTTAGCTACACGTCAAACGCAAGGGGAAACTTAAGGACGCAGGGACGCAGGGACACCCTAAACCCCTAGCCCGCGCCCCGGCCCCGTCGACCCCTAGCCCGCGCCCCGGCCCCGTCGACCCCTAGCCCGCGCCCCGGCCCCGTCGACCCCTAGCCCGCGCCCCGGCCCCGTCGACCCCTAGCCCGCGCCCCGGCCCCGTCGACCCCTAGCCCGCGCCCCGGCCCCGTCGACCCCTAGCCCGCGCCCCGGCCCCGTCGACCCCTAGCCCGCGCCCCGGCCCCGTCGACCCCTAGCCCGCGCCCCGGCCCCGTCGACCCCTAGCCCGCGCCCCGGCCCCGTCGACCCCTAGCCCGCGCCCCGGCCCCGTCGACCCCTAGCCCGCGCCCCGGCCCCGTCGACCCCTAGCCCGCGCCCCGGCCCCGTCGACCCCTAGCCCGCGCCCCGGCCCCGTCGACCCCTAGCCCGCGCCCCGGCCCCGTCGACCCCTAGCCCGCGCCCCGGCCCCGTCGACCCCTAGCCCGCGCCCCGGCCCCGTCGACCCCTAGCCCGCGCCCCGGCCCCGTCGACCCCTAGCCCGCGCCCCGGCCCCGTCGACCCCTAGCCCGCGCCCCGGCCCCGTCGACCCCTAGCCCGCGCCCCGGCCCCGTCGACCCCTAGCCCGCGCCCCGGCCCCGTCGACCCCTAGCCCGCGCCCCGGCCCCGTCGACCCCTAGCCCGCGCCCCGGCCCCGTCGACCCCTAGCCCGCGCCCCGGCCCCGTCGACCCCTAGCCCGCGCCCCGGCCCCGTCGACCCCTAGCCCGCGCCCCGGCCCCGTCGACCCCTAGCCCGCGCCCCGGCCCCGTCGACCCCTAGCCCGCGCCCCGGCCCCGTCGACCCCTAGCCCGCGCCCCGGCCCCGTCGACCCCTAGCCCGCGCCCCGGCCCCGTCGACCCCTAGCCCGCGCCCCGGCCCCGTCGACCCCTAGCCCGCGCCCCGGCCCCGTCGACCCCTAGCCCGCGCCCCGGCCCCGTCGACCCCTAGCCCGCGCCCCGGCCCCGTCGACCCCTAGCCCGCGCCCCGGCCCCGTCGACCCCTAGCCCGCGCCCCGGCCCCGTCGACCCCTAGCCCGCGCCCCGGCCCCGTCGACCCCTAGCCCGCGCCCCGGCCCCGTCGACCCCTAGCCCGCGCCCCGGCCCCGTCGACCCCTAGCCCGCGCCCCGGCCCCGTCGACCCCTAGCCCGCGCCCCGGCCCCGTCGACCCCTAGCCCGCGCCCCGGCCCCGTCGACCCCTAGCCCGCGCCCCGGCCCCGTCGACCCCTAGCCCGCGCCCCGGCCCCGTCGACCCCTAGCCCGCGCCCCGGCCCCGTCGACCCCTAGCCCGCGCCCCGGCCCCGTCGACCCCTAGCCCGCGCCCCGGCCCCGTCGACCCCTAGCCCGCGCCCCGGCCCCGTCGACCCCTAGCCCGCGCCCCGGCCCCGTCGACCCCTAGCCCGCGCCCCGGCCCCGTCGACCCCTAGCCCGCGCCCCGGCCCCGTCGACCCCTAGCCCGCGCCCCGGCCCCGTCGACCCCTAGCCCGCGCCCCGGCCCCGTCGACCCCTAGCCCGCGCCCCGGCCCCCGTCGACCCCTAGCCCGCGCCCCGGCCCCGTCGACCCCTAGCCCGCGCCCCGGCCCCGTCGACCCCTAGCCCGCGCCCCGGCCCCGTCGACCCCTAGCCCGCGCCCCGGCCCCGTCGACCCCTAGCCCGCGCCCCGGCCCCGTCGACCCCTAGCCCGCGCCCCGGCCCCGTCGACCCCTAGCCCGCGCCCCGGCCCCGTCGACCCCTAGCCCGCGCCCCGGCCCCGTCGACCCCTAGCCCGCGCCCCGGCCCCGTCGACCCCTAGCCCGCGCCCCGGCCCCGTCGACCCCTAGCCCGCGCCCCGGCCCCGTCGACCCCTAGCCCGCGCCCCGGCCCCGTCGACCCCTAGCCCGCGCCCCGGCCCCGTCGACCCCTAGCCCGCGCCCCGGCCCCGTCGACCCCTAGCCCGCGCCCCGGCCCCGTCGACCCCTAGCCCGCGCCCCGGCCCCGTCGACCCCTAGCCCGCGCCCCGGCCCCGTCGACCCCTAGCCCGCGCCCCGGCCCCGTCGACCCCTAGCCCGCGCCCCGGCCCCGTCGACCCCTAGCCCGCGCCCCGGCCCCGTCGACCCCTAGCCCGCGCCCCGGCCCCGTCGACCCCTAGCCCGCGCCCCGGCCCCGTCGACCCCTAGCCCGCGCCCCGGCCCCGTCGACCCCTAGCCCGCGCCCCGGCCCCGTCGACCCCTAGCCCGCGCCCCGGCCCCGTCGACCCCTAGCCCGCGCCCCGGCCCCGTCGACCCCTAGCCCGCGCCCCGGCCCCGTCGACCCCTAGCCCGCGCCCCGGCCCCGTCGACCCCTAGCCCGCGCCCCGGCCCCGTCGACCCCTAGCCCGCGCCCCGGCCCCGTCGACCCCTAGCCCGCGCCCCGGCCCCGTCGACCCCTAGCCCGCGCCCCGGCCCCGTCGACCCCTAGCCCGCGCCCCGGCCCCGTCGACCCCTAGCCCGCGCCCCGGCCCCGTCGACCCCTAGCCCGCGCCCCGGCCCCGTCGACCCCTAGCCCGCGCCCCGGCCCCGTCG